GAAAATCTCTTTTTAAATGAATCTACAGGAAGTGAGTGATGAAGGAAACCGATACATTTCCTTGATTAATTCCTTAATTAATACACTGTGCATTTATTGGGTGATGTATAGTTTTGAATGAATTAAAAACCATTCGGGTGGATCCTAGAATAGACCAAGTCCAGAAGATCATGTAGCAAGTCATAGACAGTCTCTTCATCACTCATCCGTTGCCTCACAGAGGCACCAGTGCAATCCAAGAGATGAGATTGGGGAAGCGATCGATCATCGTCATTCTTTAATTTTTTAACCGTTATTTAATTTATTACTGTTATTATTTAATTTTTTTTGGCGGAAACGGCTGAAAAAAATTTAAATTGTTTTTTTTTTTATTTTTATTAAGTTTTTTTTTAAACAATCGAAAATTAACGTTGACCCCAGTAATAATCGCCAACTGGTTAGATTTAAAAAACTCGCCTAGAGGTGGACTTTTTTAGGATTTTACCAAAATGTTCTGTTGCATCATGTAGGAAATGAGAACCTTTCATCGCCCCTCCCACCCCCCAATAAGGAACTTTTTGGGATGCATCATTATCCTGATATTATCAATTTTAAACAATTAAAAACTTTAAAGCTGCTTTCAAACTCAAACGATGGTCTTATATATTTACAAACTTGTCTAATCATATGTGAATAATTAACACCAAAATAACCTGCACTTAATTTCTAACAATTGTCTTCCATATTCACTATTCTAGAATTATTATATTTAAACAATAATGAACTAAATATCCAAAATTTAAATTGTCAATTAAAATTTAAATAACCTGCATTTAAATGCATACGATGATCTTTTATATTCAATATTCTGGAGTTATATTATATAGACAATTGAATACTAAATAACCAAAAATTAAATTCATAATCAAAACTTAAATAACCTACATTTAAATTCCAGCAATTGTCTTCTATATTATCTATCCTGAAATTGATTTCGTAATTACTAATTTAAAAAATTAAAAACTAAATAATCAAAAATTAAATTCCAACAATGTTTTAGTATTTACTTATTATTTTTAAGAACCTCAAAACAAAATAACATGCTTTTAAATTCTAAGAATTCTTCATGTTTACGATCTCGGTTTATGATTTTTAAACAAATAAAAACTTAAGAAATGCGCATTTGAAATCCAAATAGTATAATATTAGTTCAATAGAAAAAATCCAAAACTGCTATAAAGAAATTTAATCAAAAATTCGAAAATCGGCACTCAAGGTACTTAAATTAGGGACGTTGTTTTATATTATAGCTGCATGTAACATCGTTTGTTCCGGAATTTACACAAGAGTCAAGGAATGTTTTAAAAAGATTTGAAGGGGAAATAACAGTTTGTGTCCATTTTTTACATAAATAATGATTAGACCATTTTGGAGATTATTAACTTTTGACAGCGTGGAAAACAAAAAAACAACGGTTCTCGCCCAGAGTCACTTTGAAGATTTGCCATGCCGGAGAAAAATTCTTTCTTTCCACACGCAAAATATTTATTTTTCTTTCTAAATCACCTTAAATGGGCATAACTCGTTCCCGCCCCCGTGATCTTCATTTATTATCATCATGTAAACGTGATGTTTGAAAAAGTTTACAAAGAATTTCAAGCTAAAAATATTTATGTATTTTTATGAAAAGTTTTTTTTTCGTTATCCGTTTGACTACTAGCAATCCGTTTATCCAGATCCGTTTATTACTAGCAATTAATTTATTCAGCTAAAAAATGTTTTTCCAATAACAGTTTCCAGGTATCTGACGAGTCCAAAAATATGTTTTTGAGCGAAATTTAGCAAATTTAGTTTATTATAAATTTAGAATTCCCGTACTCTTAGTTTTCTAAAAATACTTTACTTTTGTTTGTACACCAATTATTTACAAACATTGAATAAAATATTGATTTTAAGTCTTTAAATACGTTTATCTCAACAAAGGGTTTTTTCACACTTTACACCATACGATGCATCATACATCATACATACGATACTTCCCTAAATACGATACATCATGTTTTTTTTTTGTTTTTTTCTTTTTTAGATAATTTTCTACAATTTTCCATGAGTATTTATTTTTATAGCACACGTGTTTTGAACTACAGACTAAGAGAAAAAAAGACATTTTTTATGCATGCTTTTTCGTAAAGACAATTGCGGAAATTTTTAAAAATTTGCTTTTTTAACTATATTGATCCCTAAGTCAGTAGTATATGCATTTGCTTTTAAGTTAATAATTCAAAACATAGTTTATAGCTTCTTTAATAAAATCCTCGGAGGACTTTTTACTTCAGGCAATAGAAATTTTTTTACAGTGTTTAGCATATATGCAAAAAATGCCACATTTTTATTTAAAAATGGCCCTTTGAAGAGAAAATAATAATAATAATAATCATTTTACTAGTTTTATAAGTTTTTACATATAATGAACTAGTTTTTTAAAATTTTATATTAATATTTTTTTAAAACAAATTATTGAAACTAGTCGGATACCTTAGTAAAAAAATTAATATTTTCTTTTTATTGTTAAACATTTTTCCTAACTAATTATTTCTAATGGAAATAATAAATATGTTTTTATCTATTTTGAAAAAATATATATTATTGACTACTTATAAAAAATGAGCCAGACTTGCGAAAAAACACCTGCAAAATCCTTTAATAGTAGAGTTTCGAGACTGAGAGTTGAAATCAAAGTACTTAAAAAAAAATCAAATATTGGTATACCTGTCATTTATGCTTCTAAAATCTGTATAATTAGGATAAAAAAGAAATAAACGAAATCGAATATTCAAAGTGTTTTCAACTCCTTGTAGAACTAAACTTATCAAAACTTGTGATAGTTTTACTATAAAAAGAATAACGATACCTAAAATCTCATATTAAAAAGATCCTGCTTTATTTAAACCATTAGTTACAGCCATTAATAGCAAATCTTTTATTATAAGTTATGAAATGATTAAATCGTATTTATTTATTTAGATATTGTTAATGAAACTACAAATGAGTTTCAATATTTTTTAATTTCAGCTTTATTTCAGTATTTATATATAACTTTTCATATGACATTGAGTTAGATTTAATTATAAGATATAATGTAATAAAATTGTTTCATTAGTTTAAAAAAAATATTTAAATTTTATTAGACATGAATATTCGTAATGATTAATAAATGGAGGCATTTTTGAAATCATCTCAACTCTCCTCACTATATATTAAAACGAACAGTCTGGGGTCACCGATTTGGATCGCATTTTTTCTACAGTTTTCATGGGGTGGTTTGTAAACAATCACCGCTTTCCGGCGTCATTCAGTTCGGACTGAAAACGCCAAAAAACCATTGTTACAGTTTATCTTTTCTTAGTGACCGGGGTAGCCTGGTTATCAGGGAGCTGGACTCACATTCATGAGAATGGGAGTTCGAAACCAGCAGGCCGAAGGATCCCCGTGTAGTAAATGGTGGCTGGTGCACGTTAAAGCTACCAGGTCATTAAGTCTTCCATATTCCCTTAACAAATTACACCTCTGGGGCTCTATGTGGCAGATTTGACTTATTTTTATAGCAGTCGTTGAACAGCCGATCCAATTTTAGGTTTATGACCACCAATGTTCAACTCCGTAGTCTTGTAATTGAACTCCGTAGCTTTGTAACCTATTCCAAGAGACAAAGGAACTCATGGATCAAGTACTGGGAGAAATTTGCCTTCGTGGAGGACTTTTTGATGAAATTAACCGGCATTTGCATCACATAGAGAGAAAACCACGAAAAACTCTCTCGGTTAGACTGAATTGGAGATCGATCGTTCTCTGGTTCAGGTCAAAATTATGATTTGTGAAAGAATGAGATCCGATCCGTTCCTTAGATCAAAAGTTATTCAGGGTGATCCGTTCTTTTTTCTTTTTTTGCTCATTGTACACTGATTTTTCAACATGATTTTGCAGAGATGGTTATCAAAAAACCTTTGTATCTTTTGATCTATTCCTTTTTCAGACAAATTTGAATATCAAAAATTAAGTTAAAAACATTTTCTATAAAACAGGGTAAATTATGTGCTTTTACAACCACCTGTTATGATTTTACATATAAAAAAATAGCACTATTAGCACTATTATGTTAATAAAAAAAACTTAGTGTTAATTTTTCTACTTTATTTTTGACAAAGATTCCTAAGATATGTAATAAGGTTTGTTATTACGGATCACCACGTATATCCGTCCTAATCATAACAAAATCATAACTGATGTGTTTAAATGCGGGTAACATAATCGTAAGCTCATAAATTTTTTAGTTCATGCATTATACATAAATAATATGAACTATTTTGCTATGAACAATGGGGCTCCACCACCTAGTAAAACGAAAAAAAGTTCCTCAAATATCTTAATTCTAATTAGGATTTAAATAAAAATTACCGCAAGAGATGTAATTTAATAATTAAACAAATAGTAGCAGATTTAACATGTCCATTAAACAACATAAAACCATTCTAAAATGTAAATTCGTACACTAGAAAAAGATTTAAAACGCAAGTTTTTTTCCCCCTCATTCGTATGTCTTCGTAATACATCAAAAACGCAAGACGTTATCGATTTAAGGATGTAAATAAATATTTTTTACTCGATAAATTTACTCTTTCAATTGTAAAAAATCAAATTCGACAATGTCGAAGCAACAAAAGGCATCAGAAATTTATAGCTGAATAAATCACTGTTTTTGTCGCTTTTTCGAATTGTAAAATTCAAATTCCCGCTAAAAATAATTCCAAGTATTCCTTTTTCACTATTTATCATTCTTATTTTTCAGTTTCTCGTCTCCGAATGTCCGAAACTTTATCTTTATTTCTCGAGTGGACATATGTTGCTTTAATTAAGTCCACCCACCTCCAAGGGAAGAAGTGTCCCATGAAATTTAATTCTATCTCTGATGCCCCTCCCTATTTCAACCCCCACTTTTCTGATAGGAAGATTCTCATTGGAGAGTATATAAGTCACGTGAATGCCATCAGAAGTTCACTTCATTCACCAACTCTAAAGAAAACGGTTCCACGGCTCGCACACACCATCGCTGGCTCATCATATCAGGTGAGTTACATTTCAATTTTTTCTATTTCAGTTCCTTTCTTCGAGACCTTAAAAATCGTCAAATTTTCAAAATAGTATTTGTGTCTAAAAAGTAGAGAAAATTTATGTTTTTATCTATAAAGTAATTTTTAAGATATTATTGCAATTATAATAACAATTTTGTGCTTATTTGTCCAAGAGTTCGATTTTTATTGCAATAAGGTAAATTCTATTCATTGTTTCCTACTTTCTTTATATTTTCCTGAAAGTTTGATAGTTCCTTTATATAATGATTTAAAAAGAATGCTAAGAATTTTTTAAATTAATCATTGAGGCAAAACATTTTTGTGATTTGAGAGCATCGAATATTTAGAAAAAAATTTTTTTGCCTAGAAAGTAAAGAAAATTCATGTTTGCCGATTGGTATTTCCCTTTTTAGCAATAGTTTTTGAAGCTATATTTTTACAATTATAAAAGCAATATAGCGAGAATTGGTCAAAGACTTCGATTTTTATTGCAAAAAAGTATATCTCAATTGTTTTACTTTCTTTTTATTTTCCTGAAATTTTGACACTTGCTTTATATGATTTAAAAAATTGCTATAGATTTTTTTAATGAATCATTGAAACAAAAAATTACTGTGATTTGAGAGTGTCGAATATTCCAAAAAGAATTTTTTTCTCCTAGAAAGTAAAACCAAATTACGTTTGTAGTTCGATATTTGCATTTTTAGCAATAAAATTGTTTTTGAAAATATTATTACAAGGGCAATTTTGTGAGAATTAAATTCCCGCCAAAGAGTTCTATTATACCAAAGAGTTCTATTTTTATTGCAATAAAGTATATTCTTTTAATTGTTTTCCACTTTTCTTTGTATTTTCCTGGAATGTTTGTGATTTGATTTATATAATGATTCACAAGATTGCTCGGGATTTTACTTTTCAATTTGAAACGAAACATCTTCGTAATTTAAGAGCATCACATTTTCCAAAAATTTTTTTTTATAAAAAGTGATGAAAATTTATGTTTTGAGTTTGCTATTTATATTTTCATCAATTACATAGTTTTTAAAAAATATTATAACAATTATAAATGCAATTTTGTGTTGATTTGCGAAAGAGTTCATTTGATTTTTTTTACCATTATGTATACTTTTACTCGTATTCTAATTTTTTTGTACTTTCTCATATTTTCTGAAAGTTTGACGTCTGATTTAATGATTTAAAAGACGACTGAGAATTTTTTTTGTTCAAGTTAGCATTACAGAAAATGATGTGATTTGAGAGTACCGAAATGCATAGCTTTGCAAAGAAAGGCATCATTTTTCTTTTAATGTTTTAAACATTGCAAAGTTGAGATCGAAACTGATTTACATTTCGATTTATGATGCGTCCATAGTTTTTTATTTCAATCTTTTACATTTTTATTTAGATGCAAAGGATACTTTTTGGTACATTTTTATTGCTATCTATTTTTTATAAAATTTGCAAGTTGTATCGATTGAAATGTTTTAAAATTGTAATATATTTCTAAAACATGTCAAACAATTCCTAAAGTTTTTAAGGGAAACTCATACCAGTTTAAATAAAAGAAAAATTCTGAAATTTTCATTTTGAAGGTTCCTTCAAGTTCTCTTAATAACAATTTAAGTTAATTTATCAAGTTAATTGAAAATAAACATCACTGAATTTTATGTAATTCTAGACCAGATTTATTTGTGCAGGTTACGTTACTTGAATTTATCGAATTATTTTTCAAGACTTATTTACTTGTCAGTTTAACAAAATAGTTTGCAAAATTGAAGGTTGAAATTTGTATCGCTAAATATTACTGTTGTTGTTGTCGTCGATAGCCATTAAGGCAAGGGGTGCGATTGTTCTTGTTTTCCTGTGGCACTATGGTTCGACTTCGGCCACACCCATACGTCACACCCGTTTTAGGGTCTACCCATTCACACATCCATTCATTCATTCATCCACAGATAGTAATTTTGACCTTAACCAGAGAGGGACCAATCCCCAATTAAATACCCCTAGAGGTATAATTTGTTTTGGGAACATGGAGCACATTGTGACCCGACAGGTTTAACGTGCACCAGTCACACTGGGAGTCTTCGGTGGGTTTGATTCGAACTCCCGTTCTCGCGAACGTGAGTCCAACGCCCTGCCAACCAGACTATCCCAGCCGCTAAATATTACTGAGAACCATTTTTAAAATCTTTCATTAGTTCCTATAACTTAAGAGTTACTCCTGAAAATTCTCTTTTTAATTACTTCGTTCATTTTATTTGAAAACATCTTTTAAATTCAAAAATTAAAATATATAATTAATTTATAAATAATTCCATTCTGAAAAATTAATTTACGTGGTGTTTCATTTCTGAAAAGGGATTTAACAAATTAATTTTTTTTAAAGTAAGGAATAAAAATACGAAGTTTACTAATTATGATGTCTTGTTTGAGAATTTTACAACTGTAAAATTGTATTTTAATTTATTTTTCTAAAATCGCTATTTTTTTTCAAAAGAAATAAACGAACTTTTAACTTTTTAATGTTGATTTTTTAAAATCCGCGTAAGTTAACAAAATCATTCAATTTTGTAAAATGTTGATTTCTTTTCTACATAGGAGTTTTTTAGAGTTTACTTACTCAAAGTAATTCAAGGAATTGTTAAAAAAGGGAGATCTTACACGTTAAAGGAAAATTATTCTTTTTCAAATCAAGCATTCAAGTGAAATTTAGACTTTTTTCTTTAAAATTTCACAAAAGAGAAAAAAATCATAATTGGCAAGGGATTAGTTATATAAACATAATACATATCTTAATTAAAATTATTTCTTTTAGAAAAATTGCAAAATGTTTAAATATTTTCAGCTCTTAAGAGATTGACAAAATGTCTCTTCTGAATTAAAAATAATAAAGATAAAAATACACCAGATTTTGTAAATAAAAATGAATTAGTTTTAAAAGTTAAAATTTATAGGTATCTAGGTCAAAAAATATATAGATATGGGATTTGTTTGAAAGTTTAGTTGAACAAATACAAGTTTTACTTTTGTAAGAGCCATAACACATGGATTATCATTTTTGAAATTTCCTTTAAATAAATAAGTTGAAACAAAATTAGCTTTTTTTATTTATTTTTATTAATTTTAAATAAAATTTAGCTTTAAGCTTGCATAAGTTTTCATTCTGTAAACTGTACTATCTCATCCCAGTTCAAAACTATAAGAAGAAACAGAGTAACATTGCTAACAACTTTATATTAAACATTGACTATTTTTAAAACATTTATTCCTAAATAAAATCGATACCAAGTTAAAAAATAAAAGATATTCCGGGAGGAGAAAAATTTCTATACTATTTTATGCGATCATATTTTCTATCCTATGCAAGGTGTGACTAAAGCTCACATTTAATGTGTATTTTTAGAAACTTTTCATCAAAAATGAAACCTAGTATTCACATTGGGGGTCTCAAACTAATATTTTACGGGCAAAAACGCTGTAGAAATCAAGCAAAGTTTTGATTGCAGGAAGAATTGAAAGACGATTGCTAGAAACACCTTCAAGTTTCTACTTCCAATTAAAACTGTTTTGATGTTTATTACACTCGCCTTCCTATTCTGTGATATGTCGGATTTCATTAGAAATTTGTTCTTTCCTGGTTAAAATAGTAATTTGTTACCCCTATGTGGTGACTTTTGTGTTATCAATCTTGATAAGGATTCTAAAGATGCACATTAAGAGCGATCTTTGCTGATCACCTTATTTATATAGTTACTATATATTGTTATTATATAGTATAAGTATGTGTGTGAGAAAATAAGCTCAATAAATTGAGCAAGTACTTACGTCATAAATAAAAAATAAAAAAGTTACAAATAATTATAATTTAAAGTGCTACTTTGACCTGAGATTTGTGCTATTTGAATAAAACTAAATCATGCATTGAGAGTGTGACATCACAAAAGCGCAGTTAATAGTTACGTAAAAAAAGTTACAATAAATTTTAGAAAAAAGTATTATTTTTAATTCATATTGGTTAACTCGTTCAATAGAAATAACACTGGGAAGATAAAAAGTATTTACCGTTTGAAACATATGTAATACACCGATATGTTTCAAAAAGTTTAACAGCGTCCCAGATTACACCGAGTTAACTCGGGTATGTATATATTGCAAATATTTACTATCCCGAGAAAACTCGGGCGTAGCAGAATTTTTCAGTACGTTTTGTTTTATCACATTTCTACTTGACTGGAAGGATTCTTCTGATTACGAAGATGTGAACATACATAAAGACCAATACTTAACTTTTTTTATTTGCCCTAGATAATCGGAATAGTAAAGTGATGGTAAATTAAATGCTTTTAACACATTAAAAAATCAAAATTTCAACTTAAAACCTGTGCATTATGTTTTTTTTTAGTTCCTTGTATTTATTAATTAAAAAAAAAAAATAGGTTGATTTTTTTACATTTTTTTCTCAAAAAATTAGAAAGGGAAGCGGTTAAGAAACGTTTTTATTTACTCCTTAAAAGGAAAGTAGAAATATCCAATTTTATGCAACTATTTTTAAAACCTTTCATTTACATTTCCGTAACATATTATAATCATTCATTATAAAACCTTCGTACAATCTTTTTTTAACTTAGAAATGTTTAAATAAGTACTTTTTTTGTTTAATGGGTATTTTTATCACAACAAATCAGCTCTGCTGTAAAAAACCATATGAGAACAGGAAAATTTTAATGAAAACATCCCCAAAATGCTTCATTGATGAACCAGATGTTTAATTTTTATCCACTACTTCTACCAAATTAAACAAAAAATATCGTTTTTTCCCCCATTGATAATAATAAGAAACGACACGTTTTGTTTAGGCTTCAATCTCTTCCAACGCTCAGTTTGGAATTACTTATTTTAACATTACTCAGAATTACTTAGTAATACACAAACCACTATAGAAATGTAAGACTTCCATGTATTGCTTAGAAATGTAATGCTTTAAAAAGTTCC